ATAATAATAATAATAATAATAATAATAATAATAAACTGCTTCACTGTACTGTTTTTTCTAGTTAATTTTCCTAAAACCTGATTAAAACCTGTTCCACTTTATTATTTAATTTCCTTACAATGTCTTAGAACTTTCTCCTTTTCCAATTAATTTTCTGTGTTTCTGTTACCATTACTTACGTAAGAACGATGCTAGTGACTCAGATTAAATACTGTCGAATGGCTGGATGATTAATGAATTGGATACATCATTACGTAGTGTGAGGTGCTATCCCGGCATTAACCTGCAAGAAATGAGGAAAGCAACAAAGGCCCGTCTCGTGGTCGATATTTGAACCCAAAACCCCTTGAACAAGAAGCGGGAATTATAGACAAACCGCAGCGGCATTCGGTTTGATGAATGGAAAGCATTTTAAAAATACCTGAGAATGGAATTACGTTCCGTGAATATTAAGTTACACATTTGTATATACTTGTATGTCCGAAATAGTGCAATGGTAGCAACTAAAGACTACTGAAATTAATACCACTGCAGACCTGAATTTCGGATTTTACCAGCTACTTCCAATGCTTCTTCTGCTTGATGGACCTCAATTCGGCCTTGTATCGTATTTATTATTATTATTGTTGGAGGGGTGGGTTTCCCCATGCACCGCGACCGGTGGTCTATTGTACGTTCCCTCTGTGATATTCTACCAGTTTCTATACCCTACCGATACTGGTGCGTGCCATCAGTACCGCCTCAGCCAGCGAGTTCGGCCTCTATGGGCTCAGCGGTACCTCTCGATGCTTCCCACATCTATCAGAGACGTTAGAGACTACTGTTGGGCGGGAAATGTCCGATCAATTTGGCTCAGTGGTCCCCTTGGGACATGAGGTTCTTTTACGTGCCGTAAAGCTACGACACGGGACCCACGGCTTAAAGTCCCTCCCGGAGGACTTGTTCCCTCAATTTTTCCGCCCTTAAAAATTCCACGACCTCCGCCGGGTTTGAACCCGCGTACCTTGAGTCATGAGGTGGGAACGTTAACCCTAGACTACGAAGGCCGCTGGCTTGTATCGTAACTGATATTTTAAAAGTTCCATTGAAGAAATAAAGCGTTTAAGGTTGATACAAGTTTCGATATTCTCATAGTGGTGATTCTTCAGACCATGACCTTTTGGATCGTGACGCCGTGTAGTGTTACAGGCACTTACCAATATTTCGGATGAACATGTTGCATTTGTAGAGGGTTCAAGTGTGTAGGACGAGGAAACGACTGGATTATAATGTATTAGGGTGTTTACAAAGGGGAGGGGGGACCCAGAACCACAATATTTGTCCAGGAAATAAAACCCTGTGTAGTCAAATATGAACGGCGGGCAGTTGAACTGCCTTCTTCAGGACCACATTACTCTCGTTCGTGGAAGAAGCGAAATGGAATTGCCAGAAAGATATAAAAATTTGTCTTGTAGCCTGTGTTTATAACACACACTCTCCCTATTCATAGGATGATGCATGATCCTCCGAAACGTCTGTAACCGCCTACAAACCCACACCGAGAATACGACAGTCTCAATATGTAGGAGCTTTGTGTATGTATTTTTGGATATTTAAATATTGTCATACTGCATTTTCCGTTATCTTCCTTCGGTTGACTACTAAACTCCAGCACAGCGCTGTATTTTCTATTTCAGCAAACAGTCTCGCAACTCAAGCATAGCTAAACATCACCAAATGTATAATGTATTTTCAGCAGAGCTCCTCACATGAAATTGCACTGGGGGAGAATTCCAGTGATATTTTGCAGAGTAACAGAAACGAAATATGAAGCGAATATCACTGAATACGAAAGATATAAGAAAATCTGCAAGAAAACAAGCACGGTTTCTCAAACAATTTCTAAAATTGTACATTTTATATAGTGTAATATCATATTGTTATGATTCAAAGTCATCGTAAGTAATATTCCATATTTCCAACCAGTTATAGCTCTCTAACTGTAAGCCCTAGTACATATTCCACCTTTCGTCCTTGATTAACAAGACATAATAATTTAAAAAAAATCGAGATTTTTTTAAAACCGAGACTTTATTTACCAACTTACAGTCTTGTCTTTCGTCTATAATGCAACAACATTAATTCACTAAATGTTCGTTAAATGTTTAAAATATCATTAAAATTATTAAAATATATGTACATTCGATGTTACGCTATATGTTACAGCCACATAGGGCCATCTTTAGGCAACACATCTTTTAAAGGGGTTTACTGAACTGTGCACTTGGTCAGATAGTACTCATTAAGGCACGTGTTGTTGTTATTGTTAATTTTGTTAATTCTGATGTTGTAGTATGATTTTAGAGAATGAGTTTGTTCCTATCTTATATATTGCGGATGTTTTCGTGTGCCATTGGGTGTGGCGCTCTCTTAGTTGTGCCTATCTAGTGTTGCTTTGTGTTCTTGTACTTATACCTAAGTGCAACAGGACGCTGAAATAATACTATTCACCAACACTTCAATCGAGGTCCTAAAAGACAAGACTATCAAAAGTTATAAGCTAATGTTTCAGCAATTCATTGATCCGTAAGTGCATGTTCTACACTAACAAGTACGAACTCACATTACATTAAACCTTTGATATACAACTTAAAATTCTTCACACCTTCACCGAACTTGTAATTTTTATCAAATAAGAATTGGTTTAAATAGAACTTATTAGTCGCATCCATTCAAAAAGTTCACTTACCTAGCTCCAGCAGTAAATTATGCATCGCCATGATATAGAAGACTAAGTAAAGATTTCGCAGGGCCGCCATATTGTGTCACAATCGGTTGCGTATATGAAGCTAAGATTTATTACCACACAAACTTCAGAACCCTAAATTAAGTTGTGCTACACTCGCATCCGCCAGGTTTGTATTATTTATTGCAGGTAGCTTAGAAGTTCAAAAGATAGAGTGCTCTCTAGTGGCAGTATCTACATACCAAGTTTAATTAAATTCGTCAATTCCTTAATGCTTATTGCAGGAGGGAGACACACATGGGCACAGTTACATGGTAATACAGGCCACTTTCTTATGAGATAAAATTCTGATTGAGAATCCTGCAACAGGCAGAAAAACTTTTACTGCTTTTCAATTTTCATGATCGATGTTGAATGATCTTTTACTAAGTAAAGATCTCTGCATATAACATCATGTTCAGGAGCCGGGATAGCTCAGTCGGTTTAGAGACTGACTACGGGCTGGACGACTGAGGGATCCGAGTTCGAGTCCCGTAAATCCAATGGGTACTGGGAGCTCTTTCCCCGGTGGTACAGTGGCCGGGGCGTGAAGCTGACCACTCACCTCAATTCAATGCCGAGGTCAAGAACAGTGGATCTTTACTTCCACTGTCCCATACGCCTTCACAGCATAGTGCTTGATTAATTAAGTACAGGGACAACTTTACCTTTTCGTATAGCTCCTGTTCTTGAAACATGTTGTGAATTACTGGGTAAATACAATAGTGAGAAATTTATGCCATGACGCAACCCACAGCACCAATGCATTGTAACTGTTTACGGCCCACTATTTTACTCTGCGCTCTGTTAAGAGTCCATGAACACCAAGTCACTGAAAAGACGGACAGTGTTTTGCTGACATGTGCCTTAAGAAAACAGAAACGAAAGAAGGGACTGAAGGAAATACACGTACCGACGGGTTTAGAAATAACTTAGCTTCTACTCGCTTTGCGGTGGATAAATGATATTAGACGAAAAGTGCATGAAAAACGCATTGGGATAATAACATTTCAATAAACTTCACACCAGAAACTATTCAATTCCATAGAGCAGAGCACTTAAGATATTAATAATCGCTAAGCTTCACAATAAATTCTGCGCATTGTATGGGAAAAAAAGGCTCATTCCTGTGTTCACAGGAGGCCGCTACTAGCCCTCTGCTTAACCAGACGAGGTTTGTCAAGATTTGAGGTTTTCACGGCGGTGACTATGAAGAATGCCGTCTTCTGGGATGTGGCGCCATGTAGATATTGTGTACACCGACATTTCGGAGGAACATCCCAGAAGACGGAATTCTTCAGAGGAGTTTTGTTCACAAACTCATACACTATTTCCATAAGCTCTCTTTTAATATTACTTTCCATCTACCCCTAGATCACCCACGTTCACTTCAGGTTTTGTAATATTTTGTAGGTCCTCCTGCTTTCTCCGATGTGTGCTTCATGTTTACCCATCGTCGCAGTCCTTGATTTGATCACCCCGATAATATCTGGCGAAGAATGAAAATTATGTTCCTAACTATGTAATTCTTTCCATCTTACACTCTCGCACTCAAATATCTCAATCTGCCTTTAACGTGACAGACCAAGTTCCTTATGTACATAGAACAGTAAAGCTGAAAATACAGTTTAATATATTTAGACTTTAATTTTTGCGATTTACTTATGTTTCAGATAGCATACGAGAAGATAAAGGGAACAGTAAGACAGGCCGGGAATAACACCTAGGTCACAGAGAAATACGGTTACATCCATTAAGGATTATGAGTACCCGAAAGATGGAATTTCCCCAAATTTATTACTTATCATTATTTCACTTAATAACAAATAAAGAAATTAACTCATAGTTGTACATACTCCAAACGTGTCACTTACCTCGTAAACAGCACCGAGTGGCATGACAAGACACGCCACCATGAGATCCGCCACTGCAAGTGAGACTATCAAGTAGTTAGCCACGTTTTGCAGGTTGCGTTCCAGCAGGATGGCGGCGATGACGAACACATTTCCTGCGCAACATAAAAGAATCCCCTCCGATTACCTTGCGAAATCCGCCACTATAGATACAAAAGTTAGTTAATGGGGCGAAAAGGAAGTTGTCAGCTGATGGCTGATAGAAGTGTTCTCAAAATTATGCGACGCAGAATAAGCTTAAACCAGAGCGCCATCCCCTCGGCAAAGAGCAGATTTGAAGCCAATTAAGAATATACAAATTAAGGGCAGCCTCGAGAATTTTACATCCTATCAGGATGACTTTGTTCTCTCCCCTTACGTAGACAAGATCTAAAAGTACGTGCCCAAAGTATATCAGCACAATGACCGAACGGCTGTATGCTAACCATAGTCCATTTCTTATTTAAAACAAAATTTCGGAGACTGGACTGTGTTTGCATTCTCAGGCAAGGAACTTACTCGTTCGGCGATTTCAGTTTGTTTCAAAATGGATTTAAGCAGCTCTGAAAATGAAGCCAGACAATGTTCTCGCACGCATCTAGCAATAGTAGTGTACTGTCGCAGGTTATCTCGGTTGGTTGGTTAGTTAGTTAGTTAGTTATTGGAGAGGGTGGGTTTCCCCATGCACTTAGACCTGTATTGGTCCATTGTGCTTCCCTCTATGATATTCTACCAGTCTCTATATCCTACCGGTACTGGTGCTTACCATCAGTCCCGCCCAGCGAGCGAGATCGGCCTCTACTAGCTGAGAGGTATCTTTAATGCTTCCCCCCATCTACCACAGGTGTTAGAGACTACTGCTGGGCGGGAAACTTCCGTAATTTTGCTCAGTGGCCTCCTTTGGAGACATGAGGTTCTTTTACGTGCCGTAAAGCTACGACATGGGACCCACGCTTGAAGTCCCTCCCGGAGGACTTGTTCCCTCAATTTTTCCGCCCTTAAAAATTCCACGACCTCCGCCGGGTTTGAACCCGCGTACCTTGAGTCAGGAGGTGGAAACGTTACCCCTAGACTACGGAGGCCGCTTAGGTTATCTCGATTGCTCCACTGACAGAATGAACATGAGAAAAACAACAATCTGCAATCCTTATGCAAAGCAGTGAAATTTTTGGAGGAACTGCAACTGAGTATGGTGATAACTCTGTGGGAAAAGGAAAGCTTATGAATGGGTAAAAGCAAATTGGGATGAGTTTTGTTTATAACTTGTATTCTGGGTGACCCTCGATCTATAGTTTACTGAGATTAAGATTGATCAGTTTATCCGGAATAAAAGTAGAATTAGCACTAATGGAATTACATCTGAAATTAACATAAGTCATGGAAATAGTCACTGCAAGGAACCGTAAGTTCCAGCCCAAAGCAACCGATTCTGATGGTCTCAGGAAGACGTGTGGACACCTGAAATATTTATGGTTTACTTTATGTTATCGGAACCTCAGATTACTGTGTCAAATGTTGTAAAAGATTATAAATAGTGAACTGGAAAGGATTGGAAGGAAACAACAGTGACCTAACCGAAAAACAATCTCGGAATATTTCCAAATGGTCGAAGAAAACCTCAAAAGGTCTCAGTCTGGGTAGCCGGTGTCTCTGCCGAGAATCGAAACGAGCACCCCCAGAATGGAAGTCTAGAGGGTTATTATTATGGCAGTATGTTCGGAGGACCGTCGATTTAAATGCACTGAGAAGGTGGCCATTACACAGAGAAAAAATTATGTTTGGTAACTGAGTGATTTTGTTGTCCATTGCTATAGAAAATTGCTTTCAGTTTTTATCTGCCTTCGTATTATAATTTTTCTGGGGAGTAAAGCGCGGCCGGCGCGTAAGGCTGACACCCTTACCGCCATCTTTGAGCCGATCATCTAGATAATGTGGTACCCTTAACGTCTCACAACCCTATGGGCCTTCACGGCCTGGTAAAGGGATAGCTTTACTTTACTTCGTATTTTAGCGCAGGTGTACGTTTTTTGTAAAATACAGGGGTAGACACAGAATATAATTTACGCTTATGCAAAAGGGAAATTTTTATAAACTTGTAAGTGCGTAGTTTTTACCCATCGGTGGCTCACGTCATGTTTCTGTATTTTGAATTTCATACATCTAATACAATTATTTTCGTCCTATTTCCTGCAACGTGAGAAGGAAACCTTGTTCTGGTCATGTCTCCCCTTGTGTGCTTTACCCAGTACAGCGCCTAAGCTGATGGGCAAAAAGAAAATTGTCCCTGTAACAGGCCCATAGGTTTGTGAGACGTTGAGGATCCCACATTATCTAGATAATCGGCTCACAGATGGCAGCAATATTGTCAGCCTTACGCGCCGGCCGCTTTTACTGCCCCCCCTCCCTACCACAGTAAGTTTCCTAGTGCTCATTTCTGTTAGAGACTGAGTCGACCCCCGGGCCATAGTGCGGCTGGAAGGATTAGGTCAATTGAAAAAATTCACCTCATTGGGACTCGAACCCGCGACATTCTGGCTTGTAGCACAGTGCCTCAGTCAACTACGCTACAGCATGCCCCCAAGCTGATGGGGGCAAAATATTCGATTTTGAAGGCTTTTACCAAACGTCGAGCATTTCCAATATTAACCATATTAACACATACTAAAGTTTACTTAAGACCGTAAATGGACTCTTCCTATGCATCACAAATCATTACTCGAAGTTTATAAAAAGTGTGCAAGTGAACTTAATGAACTGAAAATAATGTTGCCGAAAAATCGTTTGTACAACCTAGGCCTACGCCTTATCACAACTTTTTACTCTTCCCTTAATACTTTTCCTTTTTCATTTGAACACATCATTTTCATTCCGGTTCAAGAACATTTACTTACAGGCCAAGTGAACTTTCGTGATTTTGTGCCCAACATCAAACCTAAGCCTAGAATTTTGATATTTCTCGTTCAGTTGAGTATTCAACCAAAATTTTGCGTGTATATCTTGTTTTATTCACTAAAGTTACACTTTCGGGTTATTTATTTTTCTTCACTTATTCGTCATAACAGCACAGAAGAGTATTCTTCGTTATGTACTGTATGTGTCGTTTGTTCAAAGACTCAGCCAGTAGCTACACTACGCACAGTTAAAAGAAAGGATTGACAGATATTGAATTGGAAAGGATTTGGAAGTAAGGGCCCATGGCTTAATCGGGATGACATGCAGGGCTGAGGAAATTTACGAGAAACCTCAGGACGGATATCCATGTCCAGCAGCATATCGAACCCAGCTCCTTCCAGATACAAGGCTATCGCTGCATCAGCCACAATGAGTCTATTTTTGGAAAAATTCTGCATTCCCTTATCATATCATCTCTCCTACTTATGCATTGCAAAGAATAAGCAAAATTCCTAGGTTTACACCTAGTTATAATTGAACTTTCAAATTGTCTACAATTTATATTGTAAAATTGCTAAGTAACTGACTGCTGAACATGTCGCAACCGAATAGACGCAAAGCAACAATAGAAGTACGGCTTTCCTATGCGGTCGGCGCCGCGACCGCTGCTATGCAACGTCGCGATAAACACTCCTGTACAATAAGAGAGATTGTTTTCTGTGTGGTCGGTGCGGAGGCTATAGAGCGACAGTTAGAGATAGAACACATTTCAGTGTTTAAGTGACAGTGAGAGAGTTCTTCGTGGAAGCCAGTGTGGAGGCGGGGTCGAATATCTCCACCGTGACCCTGCGAGTCGCAGGAGGCGACGAAAAGGGGGGTCTCAAATCTGTGACAGTAAAATATGGTCACAAGTCCCGAGGAACTCGGATCCGATAAAGACTACGCTGACAAGGGCCAGCAGCATATACAAAAGACAGACCCGTCCTCTCGTCAGAGAGGGCGTCCCACAATAACAAAACCGTAACTGTCAAACAGTAATAAATATCTGATCATGAGTCCCAGATGGGGTTCGACACCAAGACTTACTGACTGACTGATTGACTGACTGACCGTCAGTCGCAATGTGACTTTGACTTTGATTTTGATTTTTCGGTGAAAGGCAGCCACGGAAATTTCGTCGTGTGAAGGCTTCGTGTGTGATTAGAATACTCTGTGTGTGTGTGTAATACTTGGAGTGTGTGATTCAATGAGACTGTGGTAGTTTATGTGTTGAGATCCGTTGCCAGGAGAGGACTAGTGAAGACGGAGAACCTAGTGCAAGTGTAACAGTGAAATGTGAAGTGCGTAAATCAGCGATAGCGCTCTAATTTTAGTGTAATTAAAAGAGACTGTAACCAAAGTGCCAATAAATCCAATCATCCGAACTACACCCCGTCATTCTCGTCACGCGTACCACCTCACACGTGACAACGTGAATAACTGAATAATAATAACGTGAATAATACAGTCTACTATTACTGTTAATGAATACAAGAACTGCTGAAACTTTCATTCTGTGAAATTTAACAGCCATAAAGTGACAAATGTAACCGAACAGACGGACGTCTGACTTTTGTCAATGTATGCTAATGGACTGACGTGTATTTATGAATATTACTACTACACGGTGGAGGAAGATTCCGTGAATTGAGTTTCCATGCCAAGAAAAACTTGCTTCCATATGACCACAATGTTCACTCCTGACAGATAACGCCATCTGCCCCAATGGACTGGCGTTTCAGAGCGAACAAGCGATGTATCCCCTCGGCTACCATTAACAGTAACAGTCAGTTGTCACGTTCATTACGGAGCGAACCATTCATCGCTCTAAATCATATCACAGCAGATCGCGGACATATATTCACCAGTGACTGTACAGTTCATTGCTAACAACATGCCTCCTATTAGTGGCCCATGAAGGGAAGGCGCGAGAGTATTTTGCGGTCTGTAATTACGAACCTCTTGGACTGGTGCTGTATGGTAAATTTTTAAAGCTTGAATTAGGTCCGACTGAAATGAAGGAAATTATCATTCAGACACCTGTTAATTAATAGTGAAATAAGTTCTGGAAACATTATATTTCCTCTAACTTCTATCCAAAATTTTCTGTGAAATGCAATATATTAATAACCACACAGTTCGGTATTTTATTTTTGTACACATTTTCCACCAAATTCCGACTATG